ACACACACAAACACACACACACACACACACACACACACGATTATTATTTATAAAGTCTCTCTGTGCTTCTTTAACATTGTGTCCCCCGGGTCATTTGTTAATACAACTACAATACAATACATATTAAGTCCTTAATCTATATGTGTTTCTAGCCATTGATAAAACAGATTCCAAGTTTCATAGTGTTCTGAATCTTCCTTGCCTTTGATTTTTAATGTCAGTCTGTCCATCTCTGTGCAGTCCAGTATCTTTTTAATTATTTCTTCATCTGGAGCCATTTCTTCATTCTTCCAGTACTGTGCAAATATAATCCTTGCGGCTGTTAAAATCTGCAGTATTAAATATACATTTTGTTTATCAACATTTTCTGATATTATACCTAATAGAAAGAATTCTGGCTTAAAATCTACCCTTTTTTATTATTTTAACAAGACATAAGTGGTGCCTCCCTGACGTGACCGAGGGCTGGGGCATTTCTACAGTTACAGTCTAAAATAACTGTGGCAACCCTCCAGAAAACACTTTACAATCTCCAGGTTAGGAACCTGTGACCAAGCCAAATGATTGCATCCCTAATGGTATATAGTGGTGTCTCGACTTACGAACGTCCCTACTTACGGACATTTCGACTTACAACCAGCTCCGGCTGCAAAGTTTTGCTTCGACTCGCGGCCAGAGCTTCCACTTACATTCAAAAAAAGGCAGGGTGGGGAAATTCAAATTGCTAACTGCTGGTGCTGAGGAGGCTGCTTCTTTATACAGTAGCTCTTTCACCCCAACGGTTAGAGCAGGAGTCCCTCAGTCCAGAGCCCTGCAGGCTGGGGCATCTGGGACAGCTGCCCGGAGGGCGAGGCCAGGGTTAGCGGCTGAAGTGCCCTGGCCAGGCTCAGCCTCCCAGCGCCAGGCCGCCGCTGCCGCCCCACGCCCTGTCCACCAGAGCCGGTGCCAGAGCGGGAGGTGGCACCAAAGGAAGCCGCATGGCCAGGCGAGCACCACTGCCACCCAATGGGGTCCTCCAGGGACGGGGCATGGGACAGTGGTGCTGGGAGGCTCAGCCTGGCCGGGGCGCCCTGGCCTCACCCTCTGGGCAACTGTTCCAGATACCCCAGGGGTCTGGACTGGCTAGGGGACGACTGCTCTAACCATTGGGACAAAAGAGCTACTGTACAAAGAAGCAGCCTCTTCGCCACCAATGGTTAGCAATTTGAATTTCCCTGCCCTTTTCCCCTGCCTTTTTTTTTATCATAAGTGGAAGCTCCGGCCAGAAATCAAAGCAAAATTTTGTGGCCAGAGCTGGCCATAAGTCGAAATGGTTGTAAGTAGGGATGTACATAAATCAAGGCACCACTGTATATGTATTTTTATCCAAAACTTCTTTATCACATGTCCACCAAAGGTGATAGCAAGTTCCAGTTTTTTTTATGACATTTCCAGCATTTTCTTGACCGATTAGAAACCATTTTAGCTGGTCTATCAGGGGGTAAATGCCATCTATAAAATATTTGTATAAATTCTCTTTATAAGATTATGCTATAGCGATCACCCTGCTTTGGCTCAGGTAGAAGATTATTGGCATGTACCAATGAGAGCTGTTAGGACGCAGAGCCAGAGAAACTAGAAGGGAGGGGTGAGTCAGAGTCTAGAGAGTTCAGTCAGAGACAGAGTTTGGAGAAGGAGTTTGGGGGGCTTGAGGCAAAGTGTTTAAGGAGTGATTAGTCAGAGGGTATTAAGATAGAAGAGGTTAAAGTAAAATACTGAAGCTTTGTGTAAGTTTAAGAATGTGCTTAAGAACTATTCCTAAAACAACTTGTGATCAATAAACCTGTTTCTGTTTAAAAGTTCAGTACTGAATGGATCTCTGTGTTTCATAGGAAATATAGGTTGATAAAGAGAGCAACTGGTGGCAGCATGTTAAAGGGCATGTTGGGATACTCGTGTGAGCTGCATACATCTACAATGTGTACAATTTTTATCTTACAGGTCCCCTAAAAAGAAGGAAAGCAAGCACCTCTTTCCAAGGTAGAATTGGCTGTTGCAGCCTATGGATCAAAAGCCTCTTCTCCTCGCTCTCCCATTTTTTCCTTCTAATTAGGCTTCTGAGACAAGACTTCACTTTGTTTCAAGATGATCATCTGCTAAATCCTACAGGTGTTGGGATGCATTTCCAAATAAACTATCCAAAATGTAGTAAGATTCTTTCACTTTCTCAAAATATTGTATTTTTCTGTTTATAACGCCCCCATTTATAAGACATTCCCCTATTTTCTATCCCAAAAATTAAGAAAACTTAGCTTTGAGGATTCAGCCTCTGGGCTCAGAACATCGGACATTTTGTATCTGTTGAATCTTGACCCTACAGGCTCCACCTCCAAGGAGATGTGCTTCAACTGGTTTGTTCAGGATCAGCTGACGTCAGTTCCATAAGGCTCGTGATCGGAGGAAGCTAAGCCTCATGACTGTAGGACACTAAGCCTCATGGCTGAAGGAAGCCTGTTTACAGAGGCAAGGTATGTGCCATTTTGTTCTCTCATCAGCTATTTCAGCTTACTTTTGTGTAAAAGACACCCCTCAATTTTAGGCTAATGATTTTAGGAAAAATTAGTGTCATAGACGGAAAAATATGGTACATTAAGACAATATTAACCACTTTGCAGAATGCAAGCTGAACTAGTGTGAAATCATGTGTCTTTGAGAAAGAACTATGAGAGAAACATTTCTCACAGGCATGCCACTTCACATTTCTTCCATTCAACGCAAGTTGACTTCAGGAAGTAAACAATGTATAGCAGTGGTTCTTAACGTGGGCGATAATGCCCCCCAGGGGGCGATTTCATTTTTCAGAGGGGCGGTAGTGTCTTAAACAAACAAACAAACAAACAAACAAATAAATAAGATATCATCACCGCGGGGAGGGGGTTGATGATAACTTCCTCAATGACTCAAGGGGGCGTTTCTTTCAAAAAGGTTAAGAACCACTGATGTATAGTATATAATAAATGTATGTACATTTTATCTTGAGGAAAAAAGGAATACTAAAGCAGTCTAAGGTACCTATGCAGCTTTTATGGTGCACAAGAACTGTATTATGCTTCTGTCTTAGATTTAAGCACTTCCCCTTCTATTTTCTCCATGCTATCTTCCCTTATGTGTAAAATAAATAAATTATATAGTGGAGAAAGAGTACGACTGGAATGGAGTAATACCATAAACAGAAATACTATACAATGATGATGAAGTTCAAAACTTGATTATGCTTAGCAAACACAAATACCTTTAATTTTAAAAGACTGACATATTTTCCCACTAGATTCATTTGCAATTATTCTGTGAGAATACTGTACAAATTAAAACACAAAAGAGACTAAGGATAGGGCCATTCTAAGCCTTTGATGGAATGAATGCAAAATGTGAGAAAACATTTACAACATAGAAATACAGAAATACAACATTTAATTTCAAGCTATTTTTACTATTATGGCACATGAACTGCACTTCTTTTGGTATAATACAACCTCACAACAAGAAAACTCCAAACACTTCTTTTATTGAAACAAATATTAAATTTTAAACAGGAAGACTTCAGTAATTTCCACTTTACTATTTGTCCTTCTATCTTAAGGACAAACCAACATCAGGGAACTGGTAGACACAAGTCCTTTCACTGATCTTTGAGATAGCTGAATAAAAAAATTGAAGAGTGAGATTTCTATCCAGAAGTAGAATGTAGGTCTCAAGTAGTCTCATTTTCAAGTTCAGCATCAGAAAATAGATTTGGAAACAAAATAATTGTGACAAAGTTTATGTCTGAAAATAGCGTATATTCAAATTCTTCCATGTCACGTTGGTGTCTGTGTGGCAGATGGAATCATAGGCTGTGAAATTTCAAAAGTCTCCACAATATTCTGCCAGGAGAGAAGAATTGACTTTAATAACTCATGTGCCTGGTGACAGAATAAAATAAATGCACTAAAATAAGCATTCTGCGTTTTATCCCAGGGTGAGGTGCATAAGACTATGCTAAATACCATATCTGTCACTCCATAAGATGCACCAAATTTTTAGGGGAAGAAAACAGGAAAAAAAATAATCTGGGAATTTCAGCCTGCTGGACCAGCTGGGGTGAGGGTGGGGGAAGCCTCCAAAGGGTCCGAGAGTGCGTTCCAGGACCCTTCAGAGGCTCCCCCCCCCGCACGAGGGCAAAAACACCGGCTTCCAGGACACTTCTAAAGCTTGAGAAGCCTCAGTATAGTCCCAAATGGCACTTTTGCCCCCACTGGCTCCACGGGGGCGGGCGGTGGGATAGCCTCTAAAGGATCCTAGGGTGCATTCCAGGATCCTTTGGAGGTCACCCAGACCCCCCCGTGGGGCCAGAGGGGGCAAAATCGTCACCTTCAGGGACTCTTCTGAAGCTTCCCAAGCCTTAAAAGCGTCCCAGAAAGTGGCGATTTCACCCCCTCTGGCCCCATGGGGGGGCAGGCTGAGCTTTCAAAGGGTCCTGGAACGCACCCTAGGACCACCCTAGGACCCTTTGGAGGCTCACCCAACCCCCCCCCCAACAGGGCCAGAGGAGGCAAAATCACCACCTTTCGGGACTCTTCTGAGGCTTCCCAAGCCTTAAAAGAGTCCCGAGTGGTGATTTCGTCGCCACTGACCCCGCAGGGGGGCTGGGGGAGCCTCCAAAGGGTCCTAGTGTGCCTTCCAGGACCCTTCTGAGCTCCCCTCCCCACTCCACCCCCACGGGGTCCTGGGGAGCACTGTTTTACAGTATTTGCTCCATAAGACACACACACTTCCCCCCCACACAGTTTTTTTCTGGGGGAAAGTGCGTCTTATGGAACGAAAAATTCAGTAATAATCTGCTTTTTTAATGAAGCTTAGCTGCCTAAGTAATCTGATCAGGACCAAATTACTTAAATAAATTTTCAGGATAGGTTTCTGCAATGCACACAGTGGAAACTATATCTGTCAGTACTGGGGAGCATGGTTCCCTATAGGTAGTTGTTACCCCTTTTTCCAAACTAGGTATTTCATTTGAGAGACCCTGAACTGTAACACTAAGCACAATGTTGATTAAAATCCACAGGAACTGTAGCATCAACAAGTATTAACTATTGTGGTTTTATCATGATTTTAATTGACCATATCTGTATTTTAAACAATTGTGACGGCTTTTAGGTAATACAATAAACTTGAACTGACAACTACTTAGTAGCATTTTAGGCAATATCATTTCCAAGGTGTAAGTTACAGGTCTCTTAAGAAGACTTCAATTAGCTTAATGAAAAGAAAATCAGCATACCTGCCATTCCTCATAACTGATTGATATGACTGCTTGTTTCCGTGGTACAGCATCCTGGTCATTTCCTCCTTGTTCTGGATTTAAAGGCTCTAACAAAGCATCAGAATTTTAGGAAATTTGGTTTCTTTTATCAAATAGAAAAGCTAATATGCCAAAGCAACAGAACACAGATATATGCAAATTTAGAACAATGTTCTATAAATATTTTTACCTATTATAGGAAGCTTGTCTGGATCAAGCTTTATTCCTGCAAGTCCATCCTAGAAGTAAAAATATTTTCATTTATTGTCTACACAGTAAGAATCACTGATTCGAAAAGCAGTCACAATCAGCAGTTTTCTGTATACACCATGACTAGCAATAACAAGCCATATTTCAAAGATTTAAGAACCAGACAATATTCCTAATTTTAAGTCTTCATTTTAAAAATACATTTGATAATTAGAAATAAACAGATTTAGACACAATTCAAGCTTAATGAAACTAAGATTTTATAACCACGAGTGTAGGCCTTCCTTTCACACAGGTAAACAGTATATGTTCTGGCTTGCAAGCATATGCAACTGTCATTAGCCCAGCTTAAACAGGTCCTATTATTGAATTAACTCTGACAGCCCTGTGAACTTAAATATATACTCTCCTTCATTTGGCTAGTATGATATAGAAGTACAGTAAGACCCCCATAACTGTTGGATGAGTATCCATGGTTTCACTTATCCAGTTTGAAAATATTAAAAATATTAAGAGATAACGATCCAGGGAAAAACTATTTTCACATGTATTACCATAACAGTCCACAAGATGGAGTAAAAGACCATCTTATGAATACTATCTCCCTCTAGTGGCCAGTTCTAGCAATACATGTGAATTTCCCCCCCTTTTATAGTGATATGATAAAAAGGGGAGAGGAATCCACACGTTTGCTATTATCTACAGTTTTCAGTTTCCAGAGGGGCCATGGAACCAATCCCCAGCAGATACGGGGTCCCTTTTTATACCTATGTAGGTATGTACACTAACAGATACAACATGGAACCCCTTTCCTGTTCTGCTAACACCTGCTGTTCCATTTCAATTTTTAATATACACCAGGACAAAAGAATTCTATATTTGAAATTATCACTGTACACTGAGATCGAAGGCAGAAACTTGACAAGTTACATGCAGCCCTCCGCAACATAGGGGTCCCTTTCTATACCTATGTAGGCATGTACACTAACAGATACAACATGGAACCCCTTTCCTGTTCTGCTAACACCTGCTGTTCCATTTCAATTTTTAATATACACCAGGACAAAAGAATTCTATATTTGAAATTATCACTGTACACTGAGATCGAAGGCAGAAACTTGACAAGTTACATGCAGCCCTCCGCAACATATCATTCAAGCCGTGTGCATTTTGATTATTCTGTGTCAGAGAAATTTTATACTGCTTGTGCTAGCAAAAAGGCATAAAAACAGTGTGCTTAATAACTAACACTGAGTCTTCAAAATAGTTCTCCTTACCCTTATCAAGAAGGATACATGAAACATGTTTTCCACAGTTCGTGCAAAAGAATTTGGATCAGTCACAAATTCAAGGAAGGATATTGGTGTATTAGCTGTAGAAATAAGAGTAACAAAAAACATTTTGTGCTTTCTTACTTTGTGTGTCTTCTTTCTCTCTTGCAGTTTGTCTACTTTCTCATGCAACAAAATGTATACTTCTCAAACACATGAAAGATCTTGTATAACCCTGGTTTAGCCCTTGATGCTATCCACCGTTCTAAGAGAGTAAAGAAAACCTGCAGCCTGTAGGGGAGAGAGACCCAGGAAAAAAATCCACTTCAAATCCTGGAGGATTTATATAATCTGAATGTTATTTCTCATAAAAACATTGCTATAATGGGATGAAGCCAGAGCAACTTGCTTAAGTGTCCTTTTCCAGCAGAAACTGTACCTTGAGAATTTACCACCTTCCAAAAAAGCAAAATGAGCACTGAGAATTTGCTTGAAACAGTTCTCCTTGTATACAAGTGGTCGTATAGACCAGATGGATGGGATATAAATCAAATAAATAAATAAACATAAAATAAATAAATACAACATTTCCTATAACCACAGTCAGCTCTGTTTGTCTACTGTACAGAAAGACAGCATATTACGTTTCCCCCTTTCCCATACACCACAATAATTTTTAAGGGCGCAAGTGGATATTTAGCTGGACTCGCAATACAAATACTTACGATCTTGTTCATGATAGGCCTGTAAGAATCCCAAAATCCTTTCAACTTCTTTTTCTGTTGCTTCTTGGTGAGATTCTTCCATTTTCTTCAACTGAAAAAAAAGTAATACCAGTAAACTATCGGTAAACCATTTCTCCACATCTTCCATAATGATCTAATGCTTATGTCAAAGAAAGAAATACTTTGTAGCCCTCACTGAAGTCTGCTTTAATGTTTGAGTACTCAAAGTCAAGGGCTTCTACCATAAATTATAAGTTCATATTTAAGTTCAAGTTCAGTTTTCAAATTGATCCGCCTTGTGTACTCTGCTTTTGCATACTTCTTTCCTCTCTTGCCAGAAACTACATAACTGTACCTGAAAACAAATCTTCAAATGTTACAAAATATTTTGAAACTGTAGTATTTAAAAATGATGAATCTGAAGATTAACTTTCCAGGGCTGGCTTAACAGTTGTATGGACACTTTACAAAATATTATATTATAAACCATCTGCTACTTCAGTACATGGCATGTCTCTGCTGGCTTCCTGTTATTAGTTTCCATGCTCAATTCAAGGTGATGCTCATCACCTATAAAGCCCTTAATAGTTAATGACCTCGATATCTGTCAGAATGTTTCTCCTACAAAAGAGCTACCCATCCCACCTTCCTTTCACAATCCAGGACATTAAAAATAGTAACACCAAAGGAGAACAAAAGAGTGAACATCAAGAACTGAGCTTTTTCAGTTGTGGCCCCAGACTTCCAGTAGAGGTTTGCCAGGCACTTCCCTTCATATACATCTGTATACTGCACCGCATTATCTTTATTGTTGATATGTTTACGGTATGAAGCACTCAGAGTGCTTTGTGGTATGTAAGAGAAAAGAAAGGAAGAAAGAAAGGAAGAACACTGCTTTTCCTACATTACTTCATTTTGTTTTACGGGGGGAAAATAGATTGTATTAAAATAAGGAAGATCTCCACTTTTGTGGAAGAATCAGCCTGTCAAACAGGTTCTTATATTTGCAAGATTCTCCTGTCATGAAAATCATTTTATGTTTGAGGGACCCTCTCTCACAATATTGTTAATTTCAGTCTTCCATCTTTCAAACAGCAACTGTAACCTCAAGTCGCAAGCACTGCATCCACATACCTGAGCTGGCATCACCCTTCTTTCTTCAGTCCCTGCCTTCTTCCGCTGCCTCTCAATGCGTGGCTTCTCAACAGGAGGATCAGCAGTAAATGTTCCTAACCTAAACCAAGGAAAATAATAACAGCAGGGTGTTGTTGAATTGTTTAAAAATGTAATATAGAGTTTGAATGTTTTATTGTCAGTAAAACAAAGAAAATAAGATAGTTAATCAGCAGTGGTTACAGATTCTGGAAGTCAGGCTTCAACAACATTGGAGGGCCATAGTGCTGTAGGCTAGATGGAATAGCTCTGCATTATAATGTAAAGCTCTCTTCTTTTCTATAACTCCAATGGTGGATTTGTCACTGTGACAAAGTTCCAGATCAAGTTTAGATGGAACAGCCTCCTTGCCCTAGCATGTTCTGTAAATTTTCCATCCCTACGATGCGTAAGTTCCTGTGAAAAGTTATGAAGGAACTTACTATGCAGAAGTTCCTGTGAAAACATTCTTTTTGAATATGATGAAAAGATCAGAATGTTGTTTTCATTTCACTGATTGCTCAGGCAACAACTTGGGAAGCATATCTGAAGGCCACTAAAATACGGGAAGATTATTCCATTCAAATATACAGTGGTGCCTCGCTTAGCGAGCCACTAAAATACGGGAGGATTATTCCATTCAAATATACATTCAGAACAAGAAAGGCTCTGTGAGAACATGTAATGCTGGGGAATAGGCAGGTGTATGGTGAAGAAAATACATAGGACTCTATTCACCAAATAACTCTTTGCAAAACTTCCTGAAACATTTAACACTCACTCTTATAAACCAAATATTCCATCATCCAGACTTCAAGTCATATCACATACAGTAGCTCAGATTCAAGCATTAATTCATATACAGAGATCAATCCCTGTGTAACATGTTGCAGAATACAAACTGGAAGAAAGTCTCAAATAAACTTACATGAAGTGGAAAACTGGTGCTCTTCTGAAGTACTTTTTTGCTTCTTCACCAAGTTTATGCCATGCGTTACTAGGCAAAAATCCTCCAGCAACCTGTTCCCCTTCACTGTCACTTTCTTCCCTTTCGAGCCGATTTAAGCCCATAAAAGATAACTGTAGAGAAAATGTACTGAGCTATCAGATTCCATTTATAGTAGAATCTGTTATCACTATGAAATAAGAATACACTTGTTACAAGACATTTGCAAAGAGACTATAAAATCAGATGTGCAACATTGTGATGGTGTTTCCTTATTATATGTAACAGATCAATGGAGGAAAATACTGAAGAAACTGGAAATTTTAATATAACCCCACGTTCAGAAGTATTCTTGGCTGACCAGTGCTAGGGGAAAATTTTCCAATTAAAAAAATCCCTGGCCCAAGAGAGCTGCTCTTGTATTCTAAATAGATATGCACACAACGGTTGCAATCCTGTTGGTGCATCTGTGTGCACAAGGCTTATAATGTGACCAGCTGCAGCCTTTTATCACTACTGTAATTAAAAGTTTCAAAACCCTCCACCACCCCCAAAGTTTCTGAGGCTCCCCAGTCTTTAAGGGCAGTAATTTGGGGGCATTACAGACTCCCCCATATCCTTAGCCCCCCCAATACTTTCCCCAGGATGAAAAGGATCTCTATGCAGCCTTGGAATTTCAAGGGGGGGGAGAATCAGAAATTTTCAATTAGCAACAAAAGGCCATGGCTGAAGACATAATCAGACTTGTGTGCAGAGCTGCGCAACAAGATTTCAGCCAGAATATCTAAGTATGGTGCATTCTCATTATTCAGTTCAATTACTTGAACTATGAAGACATTATCACTTGTTTAATGGGATAACCCACACAATTCTTGTATTTGTGACTACACTTTGTTTTTATGTGCATATATATGCAACATATGAAATAATGTACCATTTATTTGAAGCCACAGCTCCCCAAGAATTGTGAACAGGCAAGCCAATTAAGTCTGTCCTTTGTTAAATGGTGTGTATGGGGCGGGGGGAACAAGGTTCAAAGCAAGAGCAAACTTGCCAATATAGGCACACAGAAGGCAAAGAGGGTTCAGAAATTCAGAGAGGAATCAGAACAGATGAAACTGAAAGGCTCCCTAATTCAGTCTGAACGTTCAGTTCAGTCTTTTGTGCGCCAAAGGTACTACGACAAGCCAAGAGCCTGGACCATTTTTATTCCTTTTCCTTATCCAGAAGTATTACCACCAGCTTCCCAATTTGAGCTGAAGTTTGCTCCATGTGGTCTCTCTGCAGAATCAGTTGGCCAGTAAAGACTAAAGGCAGTTGCAAAGTGGAGACCTATACCTTTTTTCTACCTTCTATGCCAAAACAACAGTCTCAGCTTTGTTGTGTCAAGACTGACTCTTCAACATGAATGCTAACATCCTGATCTGTGAAAGGAAAAGCTTACAACTGTAACATTGTCTCAACTTATCTTAAGCAAACCAAATCATTGCACTCTTGAAATGTTCACACCCAGGATAGCCAGGTAGCATTACAAGAATTCTACAGTTCCATGAAAGCACAGCAGAGCTGGGGAAAGTGGTAAGTAAATTGCACTTCCCCAAGAATGAAAACTTAAATTTAAAATAAATAGCAAGTGTGCAGGTCCAGTAGCTGCAACAATGTGCTGCAGAGTATTTTAATCATAGTTGGCTATTTTATTCCACCACTATTCTGGCTTAGAAGATTTTAGGAGACCTGCAGTGTCTCACACAATGTTTTGGTCCTTTCTCACCATTACTAACAAAACAAAGAACAACTCACAAATAATAGTCTAAATTCAGTATCAGATGAGCACATTACTTGTTTTTTTCTTCTTTTCTGCCTGAAGCCCTACAAGCTGCAAAGGGTTCTCTAGCTCTCCATCAGGTTTTGAAGTACATGAGGGGCTGCAGCACAAAGGGGAGATCATTGCCGAAATCTACAGGATATCACTGGGTCCTCTGTCAAATTCTAGGACTGGACACTGCCCAACACAGGCATTGTGATGAGATGGGTTTTTAAGTTAAAATCTTTTAAAGGCATATGGGTTTTGTAATTATGAAGTGAGCCAGAGAGGTTCCATTTTGTTTCTTTGTATATAGTATCTGTGCTATGCTGACAAGTTGTTTTCTAGGCGAGCAGAGAGCATGTTATTCTGAAGGCCTGAGAAAGGACTGTGTGATTAGATAGATGGGAATTGTTGTGACTCTTTGAGAAACCACCGTAAACCCAAATAACATCTGCTGTGTATGAGAAAGAATTCATGTGATGTTCAGCTTTTCTTGGCACTCAGTTTTGATTACATTGGTAAATAATTTTATTTCCTTGTGGCGCAGTGGTTAAACCGTTGTACTGCAGCCAAAACTGTGCTCACAGCCTGGGGTTCAGTCCCAGGTAGCCGGCTCAAGGTTGACTCAGCCTTCTATCCTTCCGAGGTCGGTAAAATGAGCACCCAGCTTGCTGGGGGGGGGTGTAGCCTGCATAATTAACTTGTAAACCCCCCAGAGAGTGCTTGAAGCACTATGGGGCGGTATATAAGCAGCACACTTTGCTTTTTGCTTTTAATATTTTAATCACAAAGGTCAGGCTCACGTGTACTTTAAAACAAGGGTTTGTTTCAATTATATGTATATTTTAAAAAGCCATAATTCGCACTGCCAGATGTACAACAGGCAAAGCATGACACTGAAGTGCCTGTCTGCTTTTCTTAATCATCTGCTTTCAATTCACCTTTTTCACTCTCATCACCATAAGCAGACCTTTGAGGTAAAGTTACTGTTCAAGAAACCACAATTACAACAGAATGGCAAGAATCCTGTTCCTGTAGAAGGGGTAGCTGTGTGAGTCTGTGCAAGCATTATAGGTAAAAGCAAAATAGAAATAAAAAGTTTAAAAAGAAAAAAATGCGGTGGCACCTTAAAGACCAATTTTTATCATTTTTAATGTGAGCTTCTGTGGACAAGTCCACTTCATCACATGAAATACGGTTTATGTAACTTGCTGTGACTTGTTGCAGCTAATTGATGAAATGCTAGGTCACTGTGATTGTGAAACTGGATAAGTTTCCACGTGAATTACCAAGATACGCCCTCACCCCATACCTCATCCACTGGCCACAGCAAATTACACAGACATCAGGGCTCTGGCCATTGTTTTGTAAATAAGCTTAAGTCTGTCAGTTCAGAAGCTGGTTCAACCTCCAAAATAAATACAATTCAAGAGAAGGCTTAGTTTCTGAAATTTAAACAAACCATGATTATACCTGAATTAGAGCTGGGAGAAGTTTGAATTAAAGCTCACAATTCTCCAGGCACGGTCAAGCTGGTTGTAGAATTCAAGGAGATGTACTGCAAAAAGGACCTTTTCCAAGTTCTGTTCTGAACCCAGAGTTATAGTCCACCTGACTAACTCAATCTGACATTTCAGACTACAATGTTTATGCACCTTTTAAATCACTACTACTAAACCTGCAAGCATGGGATTACTTGGTTTCACATCTTCTTGCTCATGAGAGCAAATTGCTAATCAGCTTATAAAAAATTGCTAGAAAGTTGCAAATCACCACAACCGAAAGTGACTTCTGCAACCAGCTTAAAAATATTTAAAAGGAACAAATTTATAATACTATTACTATTCACTGCAAACTTACTAAATCTTCAGCAAATGCAGATGGATCAAATACTGTCATATCTGAGTGCAACTGGTTTGCTTTTTCCTTTCCTAGATTTGATGCCAAAACTAGGAACTGAGCATCCAAAGCAGCCTCCCTTGCCCGTGACACTGTTATGAAAGAAGAAAGATATTTTGCTACTGTGAAAGGTAATCAAAAAACAAGAATTATTAAACTATCAATAACACTCCATTTTTAAGACTATTGCTTCCAAAATCATAAGGCTGCATACCCTGAAGTAAGATTCATTTAGGTATTCAATGAGATCCACTAGAACACAAACCTTCTAAAACATAAAACCAATTTCCTAATCATATATTCTGAGAAACAGTTGACTGTGTGACATAAGGGATGCTGAACACCTACCACACTATGTTTATGTTACTATCAGAGTAATGTTGCTAAAATAGCTGTTTGAATCTTTGATGACAGCACTGATAATCTCAACAAGTGCATTTTAACTGAATCATAAAAACCAAGCATACTGCCTTTAAAGTTATATAGTCTGTTTACGTTTACAAAACGTTAGGAAAAATAATCTGTTAAAAAGTCAGGGGTGACAACACTGGCTTATTTAGCATAGCTCAGATTAGACATTTTACTTTATTTTACTGACATGAGCTTTCGATTGGCTATGTTCATAACTGTGTGACAATTTAGTAATACAACAGAACTTAAAATATTATTGACACAATGACCTCCTTTGTACTTATTCAGAATATACTCTCATTAGAGAAATTAAAAGAACTCAGACCAGTGCATGACCACCACTTTTTCTTAACACAATATAACTCAAACCTTCATGTTATTAGAATGTACATTTCCTGATCTTGGCACACTCCCTCATTAATTTACTCCATCTCAATCATGTGCGTGAGAAACACTCTCTCTTGGCAAACTGCTAGACCTAGTAGTTTATTCCTCAGTCTCATGAGAAAGTGAGTCTGGCCTCTGACTCCAGCTACAAAGACTGCTGAAGTTGTCTGCAAGAATATAGATATCAAGCCCTCAAAAAAGAAAAGATGGTTCTTTCTTGTTTGGCTTGCCCATTTTCATCCCATGCAAGGACCCTGACTTACTGTAGCTACATGAAATGATTGTGAGTATGATTAATCTCTCCCCCACCCCAATTATATTTAAGAAGTTCAATGTTTAAATTTTAACTTTATTTCCTTATAATTTTCCCCTACTTTTCTATGTAAAGACACTGGACAAGATCCTATGAGGCACCAGTGGACCATTAACACCCTGCCAACATTGTAATTGAATGTTGGACTGCACTGCGTGCAAAAGCTCAGCAGCCACCGAAATGATTACCTTTACAAGAACCTGATTTACATCTGTCCACTGAGATATCTCCTCGTGGTAGAATAAAAAAGCAGACCACTAATACTACAATCTACTGCATGAGCTCTCTGATCCAATAGGATTCTGGACAGTATGATTTGTTTTTACTGTTGAATTTTATACTTTTGACAGTTTTGGCATAAACTGCCTTGGGCACTGATTATACAAAAACAGCATATAACAATTGAGACCTGTAAATCAGAGAGCTAAAGGTATTATCTACAGCTATTACAGGTGGGGGGCAGTTTTAAAAAAAGACAAATGAGTGATGGCACCTTAAAGACTAGCTTTTGCATTTTTTAAATCTAAGCTTTTGTGGACAAGTCTACTTAATCAGACATAAGGACATATCTGTCTATCTATCTATCTATCTTACTATTTTTATAAGTTTTGTCACCTTGCTATTTAGACAGTTTAAGTCTGCTGTCAAAGTCAATGGAATGCTTCTGAGATACATTCTAGCTGCCAGCACAACTTAAGCCATGCACCTATCAGTGACAACTCCAACAAAAGGGAGAGGGAGAGATCCCAGTGATGTATTTCAAATGTCTTTTCATTATCTCTATGAATGCAAGCAACCACTTCTTTATTTTCCATGCTTTAAGTAATGCACAAAGTTACACTCAACATTCTTAAAACATGATAAAGAAGAAAAAAGGCGTGAAGATTCACTCATCAACTTACCACTTCATTTCTTAAAAATGTAAATAAAATAACAAAAATATAAAGGCAAGAAAAATATGTCAAGGGAAATATAACAATACATATGGAAAAAAAACTGGAAAAAATCAGGAAAATATCATCTTACCTCCAGCAAACAGCTTATTAGCATCTTCCAGTGCCTCTGTCAATTTATCATTCCTGGTGCTCACAATCGTTTCATGATTCTCTGAAAAATAAGTGAATCTTTTTAAAGAATAATGAAAATACATAAAAGAACTGAAAGTGCAAAATGAAAGTGAGATGCTTATGGACCTCAATCACAAAACCAAATTATACTTGGCTTATAATTTTACAAAATTCTACCAGAGTGATGGGTTTGAAAATTTAGTGTAACAACATTAATATTTAGAACAGGAATAATGTGCAGGTGCTAATGATTTATTATTTAAGAACAAAATATTATAAATAACTATGAAAAGAAATGCTACAAAATAAATAAATAGTTATAAATAGTTATAAATAGTTATAAATAACATAGTTATAAATAACTATGAAAAGAAATGCTACAAAAGCATATAGTTGTTAGCTACAGCCTAACATTGCACTAGGCCACTGGTTCTTAACCTTTGTTACTCGGATGTTTTTGAACTGCAACTCCCAGAAACCCCAGCCAGGACAGTTGGTGGTGAAGGCTTCTGGGAGTTGCAGTCCAAAACTCCTGAGTAACCCAAGGTTAAGAACCAGTGCACTAGGCAATATCTTTAGAGAGTGGAGCAATAGCTATCAGGATTAAAAGGAATAAATGCAAAGCATCAGGGAAATATATATACCTACTGGTAAGACAATTGAAGAAACTGAAAGGAGATGTACTATTTACATGTCAAAACAAATGTAAACAAGAATTTAAGAAGAAAAACAAGAAGACAAATTGAAAAGATGTCTTAATGGGGGTTGTTCTATACTAGTGAATTCAGGAAAATGTAAGCTATGTTTGCAAATGAACAGCATGAGAACACAAAAAGTAAAGAAGGAGTCGATCTGAATATCATTATTTTACTTATTATTCCACAATAAAAAGCAAGAAAAAGTGGCCATTTACCACAATACATATAACGGAAAATAAGTGGGGAGGAGGGAAGAGAGATCAAAGAAAAATATGTTTCTGGACACTCTAAGAATAATTTAACCAATGACTTAAAAGCCATGGAGGTTCTTCTGTGCCACATTTGTCAGACAAAGCAGCAACAGAACAGTGGATTTTTTTCATCAGCTACACAGAAAGCGCAGCAACTCTATCTTAATGACCCAAAACAAGGCACTGGAAAACAGCATTTGTTGATGATCAACACTGCCTTACAAATTGATTTGGGCCACAGACTGCAAACTGCCTTCAAGGACTCAAATGCAGCCCTTGGACTCCTCATTCCTTCAGGGTTTTGTTCCAAAAAGTCCTCTTGTGTTGTCTACAATTTGTAGGCATACTTTAACCACCTTTTGAAGCACCACACAGAATGGTTTAAAAAGTTATCATTCAAGAGCATGTTACTTTTTCAACAGAAGAAACATTTTTGTAAGAAACCCCTTTTGGAAGTTGGGGGGGTCACGACAAGGGCAGCCCTCCAACCTCAGCAGGGGCATGTGTGTCTGCAGAGGGGGGCTTAAAGGAAGACAAACTGAGGTCCACATACATGACCCAAAAAGGACAACCAGAGAAGGTGTTCAGGGGCGGCCACCCACCTGCTTAGTTTCCCCCTTCTCTCTGGAGGGAATACCTATAGTACTGTGTACAATTCTGGCCGCCCCACCTCAAAAAAGCCATAGCGGGATTGGAAAAGGTGCATAAAACAGTGATTGAAATGATGATGGGGTTGGAGCACCTCCATGAGTAAAGGCTACAGTGTTTGGGGCTCACATAGGTTCCCAAAGTGGTCTATAGAGACCCCCAGGGGTCAATTTCAACTTGCAGGGAGTCCACGTCAGAGAGAAAAAAAATGGGGGTGCAAGTTTGGACTTGTATCAAAGCTTTGCAGGGGGCAAGGGGTCTATGGGAAACAAATAAGTTGGCAAGTGGTCTATGGGGCAAGAAAGTCTGGGAACCTCTGACTGGTGCCTGAAGGGGGACATGATTGAGACATATAAAATTATGCAGGGGATGGATAAAATGGATAGAGGGAAGCTCTTTTCCCTCTCACGCAAGGCCAGAACCAGGAGACATCCACTCCAATTGAGTGTTGGGAGAGTGAGAACAGACAAAAGACAAATATTTATTTACCCAGTGTGTAGTTAGTCTGTGGAACTCCTTGCCACAGGATGTGGTGATGGCATCTTGCCTAGATGTCTTTAAAAGGGGACTGGGCAGATTCCTAGAGGAAAAGTCCATGGAAGGTTACAAGCCATGATGAGGATGTATAATCTGCAGGCTTAGAAGGAAGGTACTTCAAAATAGCAGATGCATGGGAGGGGCATAAGGAGACAGCTATCTAGTCGTCTCATGTACTCCCAGAGGAATCTGGTGGGGCCCCTGTGAGATACAGGGAGCTGGCCTAGACGGGGCCCTTGGCCTGATCCAGCCGGGCTCTTCTTATGTTCTCTTTCCGCCCCCGAGGCCGTGGTGGCCTAAGTCCTCTTGACTCTCGGCTCAGTCCCCCACCAGCACCACCACCTCAGCCTGGCCTACCCAACAACATTGTCGTGAAAAGCCAGCCAGGAAGGAGAGCCACGAAAGATCCCGTTGACCTCGCTGGAAGTCAAGCGGCATCGGGAGAGAAAGAACAGGCGGCCCGACGAGGAAAGAGGCGGCGGAGGCGAGCGCCGGACCCCTTCTTCCCCGGAGGAGACCGAAGCCGGCCCTCAGCCGCTCCGCCCACGCCCAGAGGGGGAGGGAAAACCTACGCTGAAGGAAGGTGATCCTCTCCCGGTACTGCTGGCGGAGCAGCCGCCGCGCCGTCTCATCCTCGTCCTCGCCGCCGCTTCCCGAGGGCCCCGGGCCGCTGCCTCTCCCGCCCCTCTCCTCCTCTTTGCCGTCCTCGTCGTCACGGCCGTCGCCCGCCGGACCCGGTGCTTCCCGCAGGGGCCGGGATCGGCTATGACTGCCTCGGTCGCCACCGCGACTAGCGGCCGAGGCCCGGGAGGAACCACTGCCCGCAGACGCAGCCATGGCTCTGGCCCCTCGCCCGGCGGAAGAGCCCCGGGCCCGGGCCCGCCTCTTCCTTCCGGCGCGCGGGAACGGGCATGGAGGACACGCCCCCTATGAGAGAGAGCGAGAGAAGCAGAAGGTAGACTCGGAAAATATAGAGGGGGTCCAATATTGAAAACCGTCTTGCTCGCGTGGCTCTCGGAGGAAAAGCCCAGATCATTGACCTCGGCAGAAAATGAGGAGGGTTGGTTCAGTTCTCCAGTGGAAGTCCCGTTACTGAACGTGGAAGAACGTTACTGAAAGAAAGAGGGCTTTTCTCGATCCTTAAACTAAAGCGATTTTTAAAAGTGATTGTTCGGCTCTTTCTTTTTCTAACTCTAGGGTGGACGAAGGCAAAGGAACGCCCGAAACGCTTCAGCAGACGACGACGACGGCAACGTAAGAGGACCAAATTAAAATGCGAAATCATTTTCCCCCTGAAGTGTAGCTTTCTTAAAAAAACAGTTACTTCGACTTGAACCGATACTTTCCGGGGTTTTTTAGCTACCAGTCCCTTCCGCTGTGTGATTGCCTCCCTTCGCAGCCCTTGTTCTAGTAGAAATGAGCGTTTCTTTTTCTCTAGCCTTTTTTTTTGGTGGGAAGACTTGGAGGTGGAGGTGTGGCTTTGTTTTTGTGTTTACCTCTACCTGCACCAGTTTTTTTCATCTGTAAAACGCGCATAAATTGCGTCCTCAGCGTGTCGGCTGCTCCTGCTTGAACACTCCTTGCACTCCACGATACTAAATAAACAAGATTTTGACCCAAGGAATGCGTTGTCTGTGTCTCTATACACTTCTGTATTTCTCCCATGTACAGTACAAGGAGAACGTTCCCAGTGTAGTTGAGTCCGATTGAGTTTAACGTTTGAGTAGACTGTAACAAACAAACAAAACAATTGCACACCAGGAGAGATCAATAGATTTATTTCTATGAATTTTCGTGGTTTACAGTTCACTTGCTCGGTTCTAGTGATTTGGTGAGATGTGCTGCCACAATATTTAGGGCTAAAATCTCAAAGTACATACAGTACTAGGGAGTATGCTCCATTAAAGAGAGTAATACATATTTCCGAATACTGTAAATAAATATGCCTAGGATTACACTGCAGAAGATTTAAAATCCGAAACATGAGGAGCAACAGTCCCGATGCTGTGCGTCCGGAAGAGGGCAGAGAAACACTGCATCTAATAGCGCAAAAGAACTTGGGTAATTTAAAACTACTGTATTCCAGCCATACCAATTTACACAAACAAATCAAACGAGTGTGGTGTAGTAGTCGTAGCGGATAGAGTGACAGACGTGGGTCCAATTCCCGCTCAGCCATGGAAACTCACTGAGGCGTGGAACTGCCAAAACGACTAGTTAAATATCTCACTTATCTTGAAACTCCTACTAGTGTCGCCGTAAGTCGGTTCCGCCTTGACAGTCTGTAACAACAACAAAGCAGAAAGAGCTTAATTTGGGGGGGGGGGGGGGGGGGGGTGAGAGTTGGCAT